AGTTCCAATCCTCTGTATAGGAGAGCAGAAGGAGCCCCGTTGTAGGACAAAGAACAGTGGGGCCTGAGAGTGAGGGCTCAGGAGAACACGTGCCATGCGCCAGTCAAGACGAGGACACTCCCACACTGAAGACAAACACAGCAGATTACTTCGAAAACCTCAGAGCAAGTTTACAGCAAGTACAGTATCTCAGACATAAGAAAGGTACACTTAGGGGCTGAATTGCATCCCGCCAACATCCACATGCGGAGGTCCTGACTCCCAAGACCTCAGAATGCGACCTTATTTGGAGACAGGGTCTTTAAAGAGGTGATTAAGTTCAACTGAGGCCATTAAGGTGTGCCCCTATCCAATATGACCCTTGTCCTTAGTAGAAGAAGTTAGGACACAGACACACACAGAGGGACAGCCCTGTGAGGACACAAGGCGAAGGTGCCTATCTACAAGCCAAGGAGAGAGGCCTCAAGAGGAGCCAGCCCCAACCGTGGCTTGACCCCAGACCTGCAGCCTCCAGCACTGTGAGAGAATCTGTGGCTGTTGTTGAAGCCGTCCAGCTGTGGGACTTTGTCAGGGCCTCCCCAGAAAACAAACACACGGACGTTGTCCAGGCAGCCCCAGACGGCAGCTGTGTCCTTTTAAGAACCAGGGAGAATTCAAACACGTCTGTTTCCGTGGTGTAAGTTAACCGCCAAGAGTCTCTCTCAAGTTAAAGAGAAAAATAGAAATGTGAAAATGCTAAGCCCTTTTCTTTCTCCTCCCATCACCCATGTTCTCAGCGCAATCTTGATCGTATTTCATTTGAAAGACCAGCAGAATGCACTCCGATTCTCTCTGTAAACCTCACAGATGTCATCAGTTGATAGCAAAGTCCTGCCTGAAGTCTGCAGAGCAAGCCGCAGGCAGGGTGTTCGTGCCCCCACCTTGCCCTCAGGAAGGGGAAACCAACCAATGTTTCCTGTGCCAACGTGGGGCTATGAATTGTGCCTCACTGCTCTGAGCATGTTAATTTGAAGAAGAAACTGTTGATTGTTCCAATGTGACGGCTGTATCCTTGGTCTACTTAATCAACCCAAGTTTGCATTTTCTATCTATTGGCATCTGACACCATGAGAAGATGCAAAGTAAACTGGCCTGGACCTGCCATAGTTCATAGGTGGAGACAGGACAGGCAATGGGGCTGTGGAAGAAGCAGGTGCAACTTGCAGACAAGTCAAGAAACACATGAACTGAATCAAGACGCCGTGCAGGTGGCGGGTGGTCCAGGGCGTACAGTCAGAGGAGTGCAGGGCAGGCGCTGAGATGCAGAAGGAAAGGTGCCCTTCCTGGGCGGGTCTCGGTGCAGGTGTGGGAGCCACTACTGCTTTTACGAGAATGTGGGGACTTGAGACCTTTATGGGAGAAATGCAAACATTTGCATATGGGCTGGATACACAGAAACATTCCCTGTGCGTGGTTGAGAACAGTAAACTGTGGCAGCATGTCACTTCCAGGTTTAATAAAATTCCAGGCAAAATCTCAATGGGACCATTTGTTGGAACTTTACCAAATGCATGAAAAGTTTATCTGGAAGAATAAACAGGAGAGGAGAGCCGAGATAAAACTTTGAAAAATAAAAATGAAGAGATATTTACCCGACTAGATGTTAAAAATACATTGTGAATCTACAATATGGTCCTGGCACAAGGGAGATTAAAAAACAGATCAGAGGCACAGGATAGAGACCAGAGGACAAGGCCAGCATCCTGGAGAGGTCACATCTGATGAGGGGCACATCAGAGATAGGGACAGAAATGGGTAAGAAACAGACAGTATTGGCCTGGCTCTGTGGCTCATGCCTGTAATCCCAGCCATTGGGAGGCCGAGATGGGAGGACCACCTGAGGTAAGGAGCTCGAGACCAGCCTGGCCAACATGGCGAAAACCTGTCTCTACTAAAATCACAAAAAATTCGCCAGACACAGTGGTGCACACCTGTAGTCCCAGCTACTCGGGAGGCTGAAGCTTGAGAATCACTTGAACCCAGGAGGCAGAGGTTGCAGTGAGCCAAGATCACACCACTGCACTCCAGCCTGGGTGACAGAGCGAGACTCTGTCTCAGAAAAAAAAAGAAAAGAAAAGAAAACAAATAGTATTTCATATCCCCTCACATACACCAAAATCAATTCCTGGCAGACTCAAGTATTAAATAGAAACAGAAAATCATTTTAAAAATAGAACTGCTTAGTGAATGCATTTCTGATTTCTGGGCTGGGGAGAGCTCTGAAAGCTCAGAAGCAGTGGAAGGGATCTTAAAGTGAGACTAAGCAGACCTGTCTTTCACAGTGAGTATTAGATGCTTAAACTCAAAGACCTCTGCAGAATAAACATCATAAAGAACCCCACCCTGCAAAGAGCAAGCTGGCCACAGTGCTTTTCAGAAGATATTCATAAAGTTGATGGTCCCCAACGGGTCACCCACTTGAGCAGATTTCCTGCCCCAGCCCTCAACCCTCCCACAGTGGCACAGGGGTCCCTGGATGCTGCTAGCCCTTGGACATTTTTGGCCCCTGGGGTGACTAATGCCTGCCTTTTTCACTGACTGACCAAGAAGCTGTCTCCTCACTTTTCCTCTACAAAAACTTCATTCAAAAATTGCTAAGAAAAACACTAAGGCTTTGAGAGAAGAAATGGCCAAAGAACATGAACAGGAGAGAAGGAAATGGGGGAGGAGTGCCTGTTCAATAGTAAGAGAACATGTGCACAAAAAAGTGAGGCCCAGCCAGTCGCAGTGGCTCATGCCTGTAGTCCTGGTACATTGGGAGGCCGAGGTAGGAAGAAGGATCACTTAAGCCCAGGAGTTGGAGACCAGCCTGGGCGACATAGGGAGACCCTGTCTCTACGAAATAAAAAATAAAAGTAAATTAGCAGGGCATGGTGGTGCCATGCCTGTACCAATTACTTGGGAGGCAGAGGTGGGAGGATAGCTTGAGCCTGGGAGGTCGAGGCTGCAGTGATCCGTGATTGTGTCACTACACTCCAGCCGCGGCAACAGTGAGACCCTGTCTTTCAAAAAATTAAAGTAGAATTTTTAAAAAATGAGGCACCGGCCGGACGCGGTGGCTCACGCCTGTAATCCCAGCACTTTGGGAGACCGAGGCGGGTGGATCACGAGGTCAAGAGATCAAGACCATCCTGGTCAACATGGTGAAACCCCGTCTCTGCTAAAACTACAAAAAAATTAGCTGGGCATGGTGGCACATGCCTGTAATCCCAGCTACTCAGGAGGCTGAGGCAGGAGAATTGCCTGAACCCAGGAGGCGGAGGTTGCGGTGAGCCGAGATCGCGCCATTGCACTCCAGCCTGGGTAACATGAGTGAAACTCCGTCACAAAAAAAAAAAAAAAATGAGGCACCATTTCCCTTCACCTTCTACTCGACTACAATTTGCTTTTCCTGAAAAAGTGGTTCAAATTCAAAAAGCCATAAGGCAACATTCCCAAATGTGGATGGATGAGGGAAACAGGGTTAGAGTCTGTGGTTAACTGAGTTGGAGGATTACGGATACTCTTTCACGTTTTTTAATTTGTTGTATTTTCCACATTCTAATAACCATTAGAAACAAAGTCTCCTGAATTTTCCCAATGGAATTGGAAATTTAAAATGCTAGAATTCACTGAAAGAAAGAGCGAAATGTCAGTAGAAGCTGTTGGGCAGGCAAAGGACTTTTTGTGCCCAATTCAGCCCCGAGAAATCACACAGAGCTCCTGCTGAGACAGGCCTGTGTGGCCACTGGACTGTGACAGTGTATAATTTCTAAATAGAGTTTTCAAATATCTTTGCTTCCATGGAGTGAATTCCCCCTTGGGGAAATTGACCATGTGCTGTTCCAAGGAGGATTCCTGAAGCCTTCCAGTCTCTGTTTCTCATTCACTGTCTTCCTCTGACCACCCTGCCTGTTTCTCCCAGACACATTCATTTTGGGGGCCCCCATCACCATCACCCCCTTCCTATTCCAGAGCATGGAGTTCTCACTGCTGCAAGTTGCTGGGATCTTTCCCCTCAGTCGTCCCTGAGCACCTGAGTGCCTGTCCACTCCATGACATGTTTCTCGATTGTTGGAAGGCAGCAGCTCCCTCATTACCCTGATGCCTTCCGCTGAATGCATCTTCTGTCCTCCAGATGTGAGCAGAGCGCATCAATGTGTCTGTTCACTGCTGGTTCATTCCTGCATCTCAGCTGCATCCATTTGCACACCTGGGACTGTATTAGAAAGTGGATCAAAGACGATGGTGTATTCAACAGTGTTCCCCAGAGAGAGACAGAGACAGAGAGTGACAGGGAGAGGAGAGATCTAGGTGAAGGAATGGGCTCAAGACTGTGAGCCTGGCAAGTCCACAGTTTGCAGGGCAGGCCAGCAGATGGGAGACCCCAGAAAGCATTGAAGTTACTGCTCAAATCCAAAGGTGGGCTGGAGGCAGAACCCCCCTTCCTCATGGGACCCCAGTTTGTCTCCTCTTAAGGCCTTCAACTGGTTGGATGAGACCCACCCACAGTGATGTGTCAAGACATTCAAGGACCATTTTCTGATTTTAAAAACTTTAGATGTTTTCAATAAGGACTTCCAGCAGTTTAAAAAGATTGAGCCAGCACCGCGGAGCCCATCCTCTGGAAGGTGGCCTGCTTTACTCAGTCTAGTGACTTAAATGGTAATCTCATTCTTAAAAAAAATACCTTCATAGTGACATCTAAAATAACATTTGGCCCAATACCTGGGTACTGTGGCCCAACCACGTTGACACGTAAAATTATCCATCAGAGATGATCGTTGTAATAAAACAGCCACATCATCCGCACTTCCTGGGTCCTGAGCACTTTGCACACACCACTTCATTCTGTGCTCTTGGGAACCTGTCTACCGAGGCTGTCCCGCACATCCTCAAGTGCATACGTGACCAGATATGGGGTCTCTACGGCAACAGCACAGTCTCCCCTCTGCTCAAGCCGTGCTTTCCTTCCCCTGCAGGACGTACACCTTCAGTCTAGCTGCGGACCTGAACTCCAGAAAGGACGGGGAAGCCAGCAGCAGACGCAGTGGGGAGTTTCTTTCACAAACAGCCAGGAGTCTCAGTAGCATACAGGCCTTGCAGGTAATAGAACGTTCCCTCTTTTCTTTTAAGTAAACTAAGCAAAACCACACTCTGTATTAACTTCATGGTGTACGAAGCTTCGTGGGAATAGCTTCTGTTCCACAGACACATCCCCCCTGCTGGCCTAGCGCACAGATCCAGGCATGGGTCCACAAGGGGGCCTCCCACCAGTGCTGAGGTGCCAGGGGGTCCTGCCCTGGTCCATCTGCTCTGGGCAGACAGGGAGCCACCCTCTCCATGGGAGAGTGTCCCACCTTCAAGCTCCTCAAGGGGGCTTCAGTCATGGCACCGGGGCATGGCACCAGGGCAAGGAGGAGGCAAGGACACAGCCCCACCTGGAATCCCGAGTTCTCACCCCATTCCCTCATTCATGAGCCAAGTGGCCCCCAAGACGTCACCTCCTCCAGTGCCTTGGCCCCTCATGTTTTGAGGTAAAATTCTTCATAACCTGGGGGTTCAGCAGCCTCAGGCCAGGGGTCAGGGCACAGCAGGGCACCCTGAGCCGGCCACCCTCACAGGGCACATCCAGGAGAGCAGGCTGCCAGGCAAGGACACCGAGGAGCAGGCAGCCCCTCCCTGAAGGCAAACAAGTGGCATGGCATCCCTGACCCCTGTCCGGTGATCTGAAGTGTCGCCCTCCTTACAGAAGAGCCCCTGAGAAGGGACTGCACCTGCTGCTGGCCCTGGTCCAGTTGCCACAGTAGTGGAAATGCCTCCCTGTCCTTACTGTTCCCAAATTTGTCCTCCTGTGCTCTGCCATGTGCCACACATGTTATTTCAGGATCTGTCACCCCTGCTACCCCCAATCAACACAGGAGGCAGTATTCCTGCCCCTTACCCATTTTACAGATCCGAAAACTGGGGCTCATGGAGGCTAGGAAGATTGTCCTAACACCCTCCCATCAGATTGTGGGGAGGATTACATGAAATAGGGCATCCAGTGCCCACCACGGCCAGGCCCCTAGTGAGGAGAGACTGTTGTGCCCAGGGGGTGGGCCACAGTAGCCCGGCTCATTCTCTAGTCCCCGGGGCCCAGCTTGGGGCCTGGTCCACAAATCTCCAGAATGACCAAAGGAAGGCCCTACCGGGACTCATCACTGGCTTAGGATCTTAGGATCAACGCTCACTCCCTGTTACGGATTGAATTGTGTGTCTCCAAAATTCCTATCTCGAAGTCCTAACCCCCAGTCCCACTGAATGTGACTGTATCTATAGGTGAGGCCTTGAAAGACGTATTTGAGGTGAAATGAGGCAATAGGGCTGGGGCAGTCTGATCCATTCTGCCTGCTGCCCTTATAGGAAGAGGGGATGAGGACACAGGCACACAGAGAGGAATGGCCCTGTGAGGACAGGGAGGAGACACCGCCTGCAGGTCCTGGAGAGAGGCCTCTAAAGGAACCAGGCCTGGCAATGCCATCATCTCTGACCTCCAGCCTCCAGGACAGTGAGAGAGCAAAATTCTGCTGCTGAAGCAGTGTCCCTGTCACCATTTCCACCATTTGCGCCTCCTGGCAGCTGATGCAAATCAGCCCAAAGCTAAGCAGCCCTGGCAGGTCTTTGCTGCCTTGGTGGCTGGCTGAGGAGGCCTTTTCTTGAGAAATTAAGAATGTGTCTCCGAAGCTGGGTCTGTGTGAAAGGGCGATCAGCGTTCACCATGTGTGAAAGGCCCAGACTTGGGAGACTCCCCAGGGCTGTGCCCTGCTTTCCAGATTGCAAATGGGAAGAACCTGGGATAGAAGCCTCCGCTCGTAACTCAACCTGTGTCTAAACTGTGTTTTCAATGGCTGAAGACAGAACATACATCTGCCTGTGAACTGGACCCCCTCGTGTGGTCTTCTCTAGAGGAATTTCACCCCTTCCCTGTAGTAAGAAAAGAAAACTGGCAACAGGTCTGGTAAAACGCACCTGTGGGAGGCAGGATCATGGCCCCAGAGATGATGTCCTAAGCCCTGGAACCTGTGTATGTGACCTTAGTAGGAAAGAGGGTCTCTGCAGATGGGATTGAGTTGAGGATCATAAAATGGGAAGATTATCGTTGGCTATCCAGGAGGGCCCTAAACCCCATCATGAGTGTCCTGATGAGAGAAGAGCAGAGGGGATTTGATACAGCAGCAGAAGAGGCCGTGCGGACACACAGGCAAAAACTGGAGCAATGCAGCCACAAGCCAAGGAATGCGTGGGGCCACCAGGAACCGGAAGAGGCAAGCAATAAATTCTCCCCTAGAACCTCAGAGGGAGCACAGCCCTGCCAACACCTTGGCTTTGGACTTCCAGCTTCCAAAGCCATGAGAGAATAAATGTCTGCTGTTTTGCACCACCCAGCCAGTATGGCAGCCCCAGGACACCAATGCGGCACCTTCTGTCTAGAGAATTGCTGCTGCCCCGTCTCATTCCACAGATTCCAGGGGTCAGCCCATTCCACTCCCCACAGATCTTTCTTTTGCTTTATCACCATATTCCTGTGGCAAAGCTCCACATTTTAAGCACAGGAGAGTGTTTAAAATGCTCTGAGCTTATCCAGGAAGAAAACGCTCCAAATCCAAAACTTCAGCCCGATGCACGGACTTTGTTACTAGGCAGAATGAGGTTCCAAGCACATGCGTGCTTTGCAACTACTTGCATATCAGCTCTCTACAGGGGAATGGGCTAAGATATTTTAACATTCGTTCTGGGATGGAGTGGTGGGTGCTGCCTCTTGGTGTCAGTGTAGGCAACCCCCGCATAACCATACTTCACAACTGCAAGACAGCAAGACAAGCCTTCCCCTGGAGGTCTTCCCCAGGAGACGGATGTTTCTATCCTGAAGCAAACATCTGAAGTTCTCCAATAAGGGACACCAATACTATTCACTTGGCCTTACCACATGTTCATTTTGAAGACTTAGCTCCGTGACCCTGAGAAAGCGTTTGCGTGGAGATTGCAAACGTTCTCATCAGCTCACCAATCCCATGGTTTATGCACCTACCAAATGTAGTCAGGACCATGGAGAACTGTCTCGTCCCAATGCATTTCAGCAGCTGGAAATTCTGCATTGCCCAGGCCAGTGTGGACTGTGCAGGGGACCCACAGCGTCTGGCAGGAGCTGCCCGTGGTGCTGACCCAAGAATGCTTCCAAGGCAGGTGAAATTGGCCCCACCCTACTTCCTGGCATCCCTTCCTTCCCAGTAGTGTCCAATCACTTCCCAAGGTGCAGGGACAGCACTGGGGACCACTCTTTCCAGGGTGACTGGCCAGTTAGTGCAGACCCTTGAGACCGGATTGCTGGTCACAGAAGCGAGTCCAGATAGGAGTGATCAGCAGCACTGGCCAGGTGGAAAATGAGTCCTTTCTTCCGGGGGGTGTTTGCATGTTAAAGGCATTTGCATTTTCCTCTCTAGGATTTTGGGGGAATCAGGGCGATGCTGGGGCTGGTGCATGAGGGTTTGTGCTGACAAGGCTCACCTCTCCTCACCTCTCTTCCTTACCCTGCTCAGTGGCAAAACACACACAAGTCGCCCTCTCATTTTAGCCCAGAGAGAGCTGTGTGGCCAAGAGGGAGCAGGGCAGGGACTGCACCTGCCTGAACTGCCTCCTGCCCAGCGGTCCTCCCCACCCTGTCCATCCCTGGTCGCCTTGGCTCCAGGCAGGACTTGGTCCCCAGGAAGCCCCGCAGCCCACATCCCGTGGCCGGCTCTGCTCGCTCTGCCCCCACCCTCTCTGTTGATAACTCATCTTTCCATGTTCATCCCTTGGCCACTCCCTAAAGCAGGGACCCTGGGATCCTGGACACAGGTACCCTGTGGACTGCAGCTTCATGTCCAGCATGTGACATACTCCCTCCTACAGCTGTGTTACAGGGAGGCTGAGGCTCGGGTCCCGGGTGCTAGAGGGCAGCACCACTGGAACTGTGTTGCTGCAGGGGACCCCCTTTCTCTGAAATGGAACCCCTGGAAAGCCTGGGCCTGATTCTGGGACTGGGGGTGTAGGTGCAGGACTGATGACAGCTGGCACAATAGTGCCCTCCAGGGAAGCTGCTGAGCCTGGTGTCTCCCTCCAGGGTCCTGGCACAGGGCTTAAGCTCCACACAGCTGTCCTGGTGGCCTCCAGCTGGCTCAGCCCTCAGCACTCTGCTCTCTGGTCCCAGGGGCCATCCTTGGCTCTCTTTCACTCACTCCATTTCATTTACAGTGGGTTCCCCTCAAGGCCAGCCCCTCCACTCAGCCCTGAACAGCATGGGGAGAATGGTGGCCCAGCCCCCTGAGGACAGAGCCCCCGAACACATCCCACACAGAGGAGACCCCTCCCAAAGAGTAGCCAGTGTCGCTGCTCTAAGCATGACCCTTGAGCTACTTCCCCAAAGCACAGGCTCTCCAGAAACAGGGGGGCATGAGGCCTGTGACTGCAAGGCTACAAGACCATCCTGGGCTGCCTAAGTCCAGAGAGGAAGGTGCCAGAGAGCTGCTCTCCCTGGCGTGAAGCTGCTGCCCATGGCCAAGGCCACTCTCATGCCAAGAAGATGTAAGGAAAGTATAAAGTACTGTTTTCCTCTAGCGCTTAGCCAAGCAGAGAATGACCAGCTATGGAAGAACAGCAAGGGGATGGATGAGGGCTTCTCCCCTTGGTGCTCAGAAGCAGAATTCACACCTGGGAGCCATAAAAGTCCTGCCCCTTAACGTGCCAACACCAGGGTAGTCCTGGAGGGCTCCTCAGAAGAAGTGTGCCAACGAGAGAGGAGGCTAGATATATAGACAGATAATCTATATTATAATGGTGCATATTATAATGTCAATAGGGGTAATGTCCTAAGAAGTCTCTATGGGAAGGATAAGGACTTAGAAAAGACAGAAAAGTAGAGAAACAGATGTGCCATGGTAGGGGCCAATCCTGTCTCTTTTCATTTCCTTGATGTTAGAATGCCCAGAAAATAAAATGCTGGAAGAAATTGAAGAGATTGCCAATTTCATGTCCTGTTTCATTTTCTTGATTTTGGCAAAATGGGCTGAGCTATTGAAGGAGGAGATTCCCTCCCAGCTGCTGGGTGACCAGGAGAGCTGCCGTTGGCGCAAGTCTGCCGAGTTGGATGTTAAACTGCATGTGCCTTGCTTCCTGCCCCACCACCCAGGCCACAGTTGCAAGGAAGAGCGTGCTGGTGGTTCGCCACGGGGAGAGGGTGGATCAGATCTTCGGGAAGTCATGGCTACAGCAATGCTCCACTCCCGACGGTAGGTCACACTCGGGCGGGTCTGTGGACAAAACACTGTGGATCTGACAAATGAGACTGAACGTCCTTACGTGGCACCAAATCCCCTGAGACACCTTCTGTGGAATGACCTTGTGTATATGTGGAAAACATGCCTGCTGCATCTTCCTCCGGGGGTGTTCCATGTATGCATTTGAGTGTGTGTGTGTTGTCTGTGGAATGACCTTGCATATATTGTGTATAATGACCTTGTGTATATTGTGGAATGACCTTGTGTATATGTGAAATGACCTTGTGTATATTGTGTATAATGACCTTGTATATATTGTGTATATTGACCTTGTGTATATTGTGGAATGACCTTGTGTATATGTGGAAAACATGCCTGCTGCATCTTCCTCTGGGGGTGTTCCATGCACGCATTTGAGTGTGTGTGTTGTCTGTGGAATGACCTTGCATATATTGTGTATACTTACCTTGTGTATATGTGGAATGACTTTGTGTATATTGCGTATAATGACCTTGTGTGTATTGTGGAATGACCTTGTGTATATGTGGAAAACGTGCCTGCTACATCTTCCTCTGGGGGTGTTCCATGCATGCATTTGAGTGTGTGTGTTGTCTGTAAGAATCTTACCTCAGGCCAGGCACAGTGGCTCACATCCATAATCCCAGCACTTTGGAAGACCCAGGTGGGAGGATCAAGAAGTCAGGAGATCAACACCATCCTGGCCAACGTGGCAAAACCCCGTCTCTACTAAAAATACAAAAATTAGCTGGGTGTGGTCGTGCATGCCTATAATCCCAGCTACCCGGGAGGCTGAGGCAGGAGAATCACTTGAACCCAGGATGCAGAGGTTGCAGTGAGCCAAGATCACGCCACTGCACTCCAGCCTGGCAACAGAGACTCCGTCTCAAAAAAAAAAAAAAAAAAAAGAATCTTACCTCGGCCAGGTGCAATGGCTCATGCCTGTAATCCCAGCACTTTGGAAGGCTGAGAAGAGGCAAAGGGCAAGGTCAGGAGTTCAAGACTAGTCTGGCCAACATAGTGAAACCCCGTCTCTACTAAAAATACAAAAAACTAGCCGGATGTGGTGGTGTGCACCTGTAACCCCAGCTACTTGGGAGGCTGAGGCAGGAGAATCACTGGGAGGTGGAGGTTGCCGTAGGCCAAGATCACACCATTGCACTCCAGCCTGGGCAACGGTGCGAGACTCCATCTCAAAAAAAAAAAAAAAAAAAAAAAACTCTTACCTCAACTAACTACTTGTAGATGATGGAAGAATGGCTCTCAATAGGAAGCAGATCCGCTAGTGTGAATGCTTGGCTGGTCTTTTCATCCCAGCAGCACATATATGGTATTTGGTTAGTGAATGCACCCCGACCTGTAGTCTCTGAACCCCACCAATGCAGGCACACTCTGTACCTCCAGTCTCGTCTCTGAACCTCTGCAACCTAATCTTAACTGCTATAATTTTTGGCTATGCTGCTTAACAGATGGGCATATTCTTAAACATCCCTCTTGTGCACCCCAGTTTTGTTCCACTGAATGCAAAGAAGTAAGAACAGAGCTTATAAATACACATACCCGCAAGCCAACCTCTGTACTGATGATCAATGTCCATGTCAATGCTCATCGCTTCCTAATAGGAAGCCTGTAGTGTCACAATTTCTAAGCCATAACCCATTACATAAATTAAAGCATTGAACATAGTGACAAAATCCATTCACAGTTGCTAGGTTAGCCAAACCCTTTTGAGATCCCCCTCCAGGAGTCCAGCAGACCCAAGAAAGTGGGAGCTGAGTAGGGAAAACCATTGGCAGATAACAATCATACACCAGAAAAGATTCTGAGTAGATAACATCATGATCAAACATATTTCCAATAACTCACAAAGCTAATAACATGGTCACCTCTATAAAACAAGATCAAGTAAAGATACAAGAGCTTAAGGAAGAAACAACAAGACAATAGGTGGCTATCAGGATGCATCAACAAACATATAAGAAACTTTCTTGCAATAAAACAATTATTGAAGCTATAGATTGAACTGACACACCATGTCCATGGTGAGGAGAATCAATACAAAAAAATCAACACCAAAAATAGTTATTGGACTTCCTAGAAAAAGAAAATATACCTGGTCATCTGAACAAAAGATCAAGTCACTTATAAGGGAAAATATTTTAAAGGCACTGAAAATCCCCAGCTGAAAGGAAACTCCTGGTGGATCTTTTCCCAAGGTAGAGAGGCCCTCGATAAAGTGAAGAATGGCATCTAGTTTGTCTGAATTCTGTATATTGCAGGGTTTAATAAATCACAATGAGGCATAGCCACATTCTCCCCCAAGGTGACCAACCTCAGGGGACACAAGAGAGATTTGGGGGTGCCCTACCAGCCTCTCCCTACAGCTCACTTTTGGCCCAGGCACCCACACCCTCACAGGGCCCCTCACCTCACCCCATATTCCACACAGACTCTGCTCCCATTGAGACCTGACCTTGCCCTACATCCTCGTCCTCTCCTGAGCTCTGCCCTCTGCCCCAGAGTGATCACAGAAGTGTCAATGACAAGCAAAATACCTAAATGGAATGTCTTGACATTTTGGGGGATCACAGATGCCTTTGAGAATACAATAAAATTGATGGACTTTCTCCCCGAAAAAAAAGATTTTAAAACTACCTTTCCCAACAGCTAACACTGGCATTGAATAAACGCCTCTGAAACACAGGGTTCCAATGAGTCTCTGCCCACGGAAATCCCAGGGAGGGAGTCTTCAGGAAGCTCCTACATAGAACCTAAAAAACTGGCATGAAAAATGGCCACTGCCCCCTACTGACCCCTGCTGCCTCCCACCGCCCCTCACTGGGTTTGTGCAAGGCTGTGGGCCAGGATGAAGTGGACTGGTATTTTCTGGGGTACAAAGGACATGGCCTGCCAGATATAGCAGAGCAGGTCTCAGGAAGGTCAGTGCGGCTACTGGAACCTACCAGTAGCCAGGAGGTTTGGGGCCCCTCTGGAAGATGTGAAGGCAAACCAGAGTGCACTGGAGGGCGCGGTGTGTCCTGATATCCTGCGTGAGGATAATCAGTCATTCTGACATGAGACCAGCACCCCCACTCATTGGCCACTCACTCTGAGTCAGATGCTGGGCTATACCTCACTGGCTCCTTGCAATCTCTACCCTTTCCCTGTTTTTTACTGGTAAGAGAAATAAAGTCACACAGTGAGGAGAGATGGTGGCGCCAGGATTTGCCACCAGACCGTCAGATCTTAGAACTCAAGGTCAAACTCCCAGTGAACCCTGGCACCAGACAGCCTCTGGTGGGAGAGAGCCCCAGTGAGCCCACCTGGCTTCCAGCCTGGCTTCAAGCAACTGACGAAAGAATGCACAACGCAGGGCATCTCCAGCTAGAGCACTGTGTCCCCTGAGCAAGAAGAATATGTTTAAAGCTAGGGGCATGGATCATTGATGCCAACTTCAGATTCTTAGCAAGTTACGCTAAATCAGCCACGGAGACACTTTATCACATTCTTTATCAGAAAAATATAAGAGTAAATCTTTTTTTTTTTTTGAGGCAGTTTGGCTCTTGTTGCCCAGGCTGGAGTGCAGTGGTGAGATCTCAGCTCACCAAAACCTCCGCCTCCTGAGTTCAAGCGATTCTCCTGCCTCGGCTTCCCAAGATTACATGCATGTGCCACCACCTCCGGCTAATTTTGTATTTTTAGTAGAGATGGGGTTTCTCCATATTGGAAGAAACGTGTTGGTCAGGCTGGTCTCAAACTCCCGACCTCAGGTGATCCACCTGCCTCGGCCTCCCAAAGTGCTGGGATTGCAGGTATGAGCCACTGTGCGTGGCCAAGAGTGAACCTTCATGGGGGGTTTTGGGAGCACAAAGAGGGTTGCATGGTTCTTGGGGCTGAAACCTAAGTTTTCTGCATTTGAGAAAATGTTATGTGCACAGCCAAGCAGCACTTTCTTCTCAATTTGAAACCATGTTGCAGAGCACCTTCGGAAAAAACAGAGCTGACAATAATTTCAATAACCTTGACATTAGAGTGGGTCTTGGTCTCAGGAATTTTGTGGAACGAATCTGCACTAACTTGATGAAACTGAGCATCTGATGCTTATTTCTACTTCAGGGAAATACTACAGGCCAGACCTGAACTTCCCTTGCAGTCTGCCCAAACGGAGTCATGGGATCAAAGACTTCGAAAATGATCCCCCATTATCATCGTGTGGCATTTTCCAGTCCAGAATTGCAGGTATGTTTGAAGGCTGTCAGTAGGAAGGGTAACAATAACAGCAGCAATGATTATGGCTAACAGGCAACCAGCCTGAACCCTCGCTGCCTGCTCTTTGACACAGCATTAGCTTTGTCCCCACTCTGCTGGGGAGGCTGGGGCACAGAGAGGTTAAACGGCTTGCCCAATGTCACACAGCAAGAAAGTGGCAGTGCAGAGGTTTGATCTAGGAAGGGACGATTCAGGAAGTTGGGAGGAATGAAAGAAAGGCCTCAAAAGAACGAGAGAGGGAAGGAAAAATCAACAACTACTGTATGCACCAAGGAGCTCACTTTAAAAATGGAAAACCACATCCTCCACTGGTTTTATTTCAAAATCTGTCATTTTGGGCTTTTGTTTTGTGTCTGCGGGTTCTGCTCCTACGTGACTGTTTTTCAAACAGAAGAGACCATTGAGTTCGTTGAGTCATTCCTAAATTCAGAAAGAGGAATCCAGAGAAGCAAGTCACACCAATGGTTAATGTAGAGACCCCCACAGCCCGCTTTCCTGGGCCCCCACCCAGAGGTGTGCTCAGAACGTTTACCCACCAGCTCTGGGCAGGGTGAGAAGTCTGAGTTACAGCACCTGCTGAGTGCACTGTCGAAAATACTGCACTGCCCGACAGCTAATTCCAGCCTCCCAGTGTGCGGTCCCAGGATGCTGAGTTGGGAGGAGATGGTGCTCTCAGGCCTCTGTCCCTGGCTTGCAGGCGACATCTTCTTCTGTCTTCCTCTCCCCTTCTATGCGTGTATCTGTGCACAGACTTCCCCTTTCACAAGTACACTGTCATGCTGGATTAAAGCCCACCCTAGTGTAACTTATTGAGGTGCCCACTCTTGTTTTAACTTATCACTGTAAAAATCTTATTTCCAAATGAGTCACATTCTAAGGCACCAGGGGTGAAGACTCTAACATGTTTTTCCGGGGAGGGGACACAGTTCAACCCATAAGTGACTCCACTGAAACTTCACTCCCCACCTTTGGGGCTGTGCAATTTTTGTGCTGTAGGGACTCCCCCAATATTTCTCTGAGAGCAGGGCTTCAATATTACAGGGGGAGAGGTGGTGTACAGGCTTGTCCTTCCACGAGCCTCAGTGGGTCTTGAGTTTTCTCTGATGACCACAGATGTGAAGCCCGCCCCCACCCGCAGCCCATTTCTGAGCTCACAGTGACGCAGATTCGAAGCCCAGGCCCACAGGACTGCTTCTCTGCTCAGGATCTTAAAGCCTGAAGTCAAGGTCTCTGCTGGGCTGAGTTTCCACAGGAAGCTCAAGTCTCCTTCCAGACTCATACTGCTGTTGACCAAATTCAGATTCCTTGCAGTGAGAGGACTGAGGTATGTTCCTTGCTGGCTGTTAGCTAGGGGCTGCTCCCAGCCCTAGAGGCTGCCCACATTCCTTGCCATGCAGCCCCCTCCATCTTTGCAGCCAGCAATGTTTTGCTGAATCCTTGTCACTTCACACTCCTCTGACTTTTTTCCATGACTGACTAGAGATAATCATGGCTTTTAATGGGCTCACCAACTTGATCAGTCCCACCTTGGATCCCCTCCCTTCTGCCATAGGATGTAACCGTCCCAGGAGCAACAAATCATCCTGGTCACAGGTTCTGCTCCTGCTTGGGGTCTATGCAGGGTGTGTACCCCAGAGCTTGGAAACCTGGGGCCCTTTGAGGACCCTGCCTCCCACAGGGAGCACATGGCTCATCTGCGGTCAGAGGCTAGAATTATGAAGGGGCATTTTCTGCCTTTTTCACTATTTTCCAGGGGACGCGCTACTGGACAGTGGTATCAGAATCAGCTCTGTGTTCGCCTCCCCAGCCCTCCGCTGTGTGCAGACGGCCAAGCTCATCCTGGAAGGTCAGTGAGAACCTCGGTGAGCCTCTCCTACTCCCTTAACCTCGTGGCTATTCTCCAAGGGGAGTGGGAAGGGAGTGGAGCTGGAGCTGGATGACGGCAACGAATGCCCACACCAAAGTCATCAGACAGGTACGAGCCAGCCCTCCGAGGATGTTGGCAGGCACGCTGAGTCCGTGAGCGTGTCTGGAATGCCAGGACCATCAGACCAGTAGGGGCTGGTGCAGCCGAGTGCCAGGGCCTGTCCTCACACTGTTTCTCTTTGGCCTCTGTCAGCAAGGCCTTTAAAAATAAACCTGGAAAGGGGCATTTGAAAACCTTGAGAGCTGGGAACTGCTACGGTTCCTTTTAAGTCAGAAATGCGTGACCCTTCCCAGGGCAATGCACTTGGCCAGTGGAGCTGCCCAGCATCCTCAAGGGCTGATGTGTGTCAGGAAGCCCTGGGCAGACCCTTCTGCAGCTCCGACCTGCAGGAAGAAGAAAGTTCCTGCCCGGAGGGAGGCAGCCTGTCCTAGAGGTCTGGACTCTGCCCTCAGCCGGAGCCCATCCTGCTCCTCTTTGTCTGGGAAGAGGGATGAGATCTCAGTCCCCAGGCAGGAACTAGCTGTGGCCAGGAGCACAGGTGACATGAGAGGGCATGTCACCTCCATGGTGATGGGAAGAGGGCAGAGCACACAGACGCAGAGGCAGCAGGTGGGCAAATGTCGGGGACAGAGCTTGCCTTGACTTTCTCAGAGACCTAGGAAGTCAGGTCACCAGTGGAAAGTGGGGACAGGGACCATGGGAATTTGCGGTGCGCTGAAGGTATGAAGGGCTGTCAGCGAGAGGGTGCCAGGATCTGGGCTGGGAGATGCAGGGTGACCACTGGGCAGCACTAGAGCCCACCCACAGTTCCTGAGCATGAGTTTAAATGGGGATGTGTAGGCCAGGCTGGGGGCTCTCTTCCAGCATAGACGGAGTGGGTAGAGAGTGGGGTGCAGCTACGGGCGGGGTGAGCTATAAGTATGGTGGACAGGGAGACTTGAGGGTGTAGTGAGGGGGTGGCCGTGCCCATGGACTTTCAGCTGGGTCAGCTGGGAGACCGAGCACAGGGGAGGTGAGGGGCAGGAGAAAGGAGGTGATCTGAGGGTCAAGGTCCAGGAGGGGGCTGCTTGGAGACAGCAGAGTTTGGCACTGCACCATGGAGGGGCTGCCGTGGCTGGAATGACAAGCCCCAGATGGAAGGAATGGACGCTCAAGGTGGGGAGGAAGGCGTGTCCTGCAGGAGAGGGGCCCTCCCACTGATCGTGGTCTTACCAGGACTTGCACATGGGGCCGTGTCAGAGCTGGCGCCATGAGGGGCCGGGACCTTCACAGGAGGAGCGGTTGGACAGCAGTGGATCCACCCCACGCATGTGCACTGCAGGCTCCCATGTCCTCAGATCCCCTCTACCCCCCCAGTGAGGCTCTGTCAGAGCACCTTCCAGTCCAGGTGTGCAGGAAGCCCTGGCCCAGCCGGGCCTGGCTCCACCCATGGAGCCACGGGCTTGTCATTCCTGTCCTCCACTCTAGTTAACTTTCCATCCCATAATGCTGTCCGAGTTTCGTGAGGCACAGAAGTCCATTTTATCAGCATGGAGCATCCACGGCCCACGTTCCATGCACTTCACCGTCAAGACACTTTCTATCTGCCTCAGTCGTGCAGCTTCATCCTTTCATTTCCCACCCAGCTGTGGCGGAAGACCCCAGGCATCTCAGGTCACTAAGACAGAAATGCAGATTTATCTCCCTTGGACTTGGAGGTTCCCATGTTAATTACACTGCCCCTCTGGGCTCTCAATGAGCCAGAGGACAATCAAAGAACAATATCAGCTTGTTTGACCAAACCGCAAAAGGACCCACGCATCCCCAAATGCATGAGGCAGTGTGGCCGGAAGAGAGAGGCGGCTCCACCCCGAGGGCAAGGAGCCTTCTTACAGTCCTCCCTCACATCTCACGCATGCAGATACACATACCACACACCACACACACACCACACACTACACACCACACAACCACACACATACACATCACACACCACACACCACACATACACAGAGCCACACACACCAAACACACCACATCCACACACACACCACATACACCACACACACCACACACATATACATACACCCCACACATACGCACATACACACCACACATCACGCATACCACACGCATCACACACCACACATACATACCACACACATACACACAGCCACACATACCACACACCACACATACAGAGAGCCACACACACCAAACATACCACATCCACACACACACTACATACACCACACACACCACACACATATACATACATCACACACATATACATACACCACACACATACACACAGTCATACACACCACACATCACACATACCACACACACCACACACCACACACACACATGGCCACACACACCACACATACCACATACCACACACACACCACACACATACACACCGCATATACCATACACACACCACACACACACCACACATACACACAACACACATATCACACACCACACACATACACAGACCACACACAAACCACACACATCACACACCACACACATACACACACACCACACATACATTCCCCCACACACCACAAAACACAAACAACACACACCACACACTACATGCCACACTCACCAAACACACCACACCACACACAACACACACCACATACACCATACACTCACACCACACTCATCACACACACCACACACAAACAACACACACAACACACGCACCATATACACACCACACACTTACACATGGCACACGCCACACCACACACACCACACACCAGACGCTACACACATACACACACACCTCACACAACACACAAACACACACACACAACAGACACCTCACACGCCACACACACAAGACACACACTACACATACCACACCACACCACACACACACCATATGTCACACTACACACACCACACCACACACACCGTACCACACACACCACACACACCGTGCCACACACATCACACACCACACACATACACACACACCACACATGCACATACACACACCATACACCACACACATACACATAGCCGTTGGGGTTTCACTCGGGGCCGAGTCACAGACCGCAGAGGAGGAAGCTGCGACCCTATTGCTCCTTCAGAGCCGTGACCCCAGCCCAGGCGACAGGTCCCGTGATGTCAGCCTCTCCCTGTTCCGGTGCCCACAGCAGCAGGTCCCGCCTTCGTGTTTTCAGGAAGGCATGGGAAATGGGACGAGGCCTCTCCAGCTCTGCCCTTTGGGAGGGACAAGGATGGCAAGACCAGAAATGTGAAGGGGCGGGGTCTCCGAGCATCTGGGACCCTTCAGCGTGAGGGCGGCTCTTCATAACTGTGGTGGAATAAAGCAAAACTGACATGCGGCAATTCCATCCCTGATTGTTTAGGATCAATGTTTATAATTAACCTAATTAACCAAATAAGACGTGAACCAAGCAAGAAACACACAGAAATATATGACAAGAGGCGACAGGCCTGTGCCTCAGTTTCCCCTCTCCTCCTCCACCTCCGGTCTTTGCACCCCACCACTCACTGAGCGTATTTTGTTCGAAACTTCCTCAGCTTCTGCTGCTCTTCCACTAGGTTTCAGAACTGCTCTGGTTTCTGCCGTGGGAGAGTCTGCCGTGGGGGAGTCCCCAGGTCACCCGTGTCTGCAGGGCCAGCTACAACGGCCCCCTCTCACTGGCCTTTTACTGCCTCAGCCTGCAAGGGTCTTTTCCAGTGAAGACCTTGATCTTTGTTTCCCTACCCAACCTCTCTCACCACCACAGCAATGACGAATAAAAAGGGGATCTCTTGGCCAGCCTTTGTGATAAAAGAATACGACTGACCGAAAACATTCTTCATAATTTTTTTTCTTTTTTTGGGGGGTGGGGGGTTTCCTTTTAAGATGGAGTCTTGCTCTGTCACCAGGCTGGAGTGCAATGGCGCAATCTCGGCTCACCACAACCTCCGCCTCCTGGGTTCAAGCGATTCTTCTGCCTTAGCCTCCCGAGTAGCTGGGACTACAGGCACACGCCACCATGCCTGGCTAATTTTTGTATTTTTAGTAGAGTCGGGGTTTCACTATGTTGACCAGGATGGTCTCAATCTCTTGACCTCATGATCCACCTGCCTCGGCCTCCCAAAGTGCTGGGATTACATGCGTGAGCCACGGCGCCCGGCCCATTCTTCATAATTTTATCTCTCTTTTGTCATTGTGCATGGTTCTCATTAACATACTTATTCCCATTTTTGGTGGATTTTTTTGACTTCTATTATTTGGGGCACTTGCATGTAAAGTAAAAAGCTTTTTAAAATGCCTTTTGCCAGCAATAATGTCAAAGCCTTTAACGTGATCTCTGATCTCCCAGTGATTTTTATGTGCAGATGGTGATGATGGTGGTGATGGTGGTGATGGTGGTGATGGTGGTGATGGTGATGGTGGTGGTGATGATGGTGATGGTGGTGATGGTGGTGATGGTGGTGATGGTGATGGTGGTGGTGATGATGGTGATGGTGGTGGTGATGATGGTGATGATGGTGATGATGGTGGTGATGGTGATGATGGTGATGGTGGTGGTGATG